AACAACCCTTCCTAACCCTCTGGACAACAGTTTTGGTAATCCCGCACCTCCTCCTAACTTCCAAACTACGAATTCTCTGCATTATATTCACACCACACATTGCCCCTCAGACATGACATCTCCACTGCCTCCAGCCTTCTCCTCGCTGGGAAATTCATCACCCATGCTTCACACCCATATAAGAGCGTTGGTAAAACTATACTCCCCCATACATTCCCCTCTTTGCCTCCAAGGAAAAAAGTTCTTTGTCTCCACAGACTCCTAAGTGCACCACTCAAATCTTTTCCCCCCATCAATTCTATGATTCACCTCATCTTGCATAGACCCATCCGCTGACACGTCCACTCCCAAATATCTGAAAAACATTCACCTCCTCCATACTCTCTCCCTCCAATCTGATATTCAATCTTTCATCACCTAATCTTTTGTTATCCTCATAACCTTACTCTTTCCTGTATTCACCTTTAATTTTCTTCTTTTTTTCACACCCTACCAAATTCATCCACCAATCTCGCAAAATTCCTTCAGAATCTCCCAAGAGCACAGTGTCATCAGCAAAGAGCAGCTGTGACAACTCCCACTTTGTGTGGATTCTTTATCTTTTAACTCCACGCCTCTTGCCAAGAAACCCCGCATTTACTTCTCTTAACAACCCATCTATAAATATATTAAACAACCACGGTGACATCACACATCCTTGTCTAAGGCCTACTTTTACTGGGAAATAATTTCCCTCTTTCCTACATACTCTAACTTGAGCCCACTATCCTCGTAAAAACTTCACTGTTTTCAGTAACCTACCTCTACACCATACACTTGCAACATCTGCCCATTGCCCCCTACCCCCTGTCAAAACGCCTTTTCCCAAACCATAAATCCAAAAAGACCTTTTTTAGCTTACAAATATGTTCACTAGTTTCACTGAAACACCTGGCCACCACACCCCTCCTTTCTAAAGCCTCCTTGTTCATCTGCTATCCTATTCCCGTCTTACCTAACTCTTTCAATATATACTCTACCATACACTTTACCAGAATTCTAGCAGACTTATCCCCCTAAAATTTTGCACTCTCTTTTATCCCCTTTGCCTTTATACAAAGGAACTATGCATGCTCCTGCCAATCCCTAGGTCCTTACCCACTTCCTACTTATTAAAATTGCACCCAACCACCCCAAAAACTAATCCCACTGCTTTAACATTTCATTTTATCCCATCAACCTGGCTCCCTTACCCCTTTCATTTACCTACTGCCTCACAAACTTCCCCACACTCACAATGGCTCTTCTCATTTTCCTACAAGAGTTATTCCCCCTTTTTGTCTATACACGAAATCACAGCTTTCCCTACTTCATCAACTTACATTTCCTCAAAATTTTCCCTCCACTTCCAATACCTCTAACTCTCATTATAACCCTCTCTATTTTAACTGCAAATCGTTTGTTCTCTAGGCTTTCTTAACTTTTTATAATCTACTCCAAAACTTTTTCTTATTTTCAACAAAATTGTTAAATAAATCCTCACCACCTCTCATTTGCTCTTTTTACATGCTTCACCACTCTCTAAACCTCTCTTTTTCTCATATACTCTTCCCTCCTTGCATCATTCTATTTTGTAAAAACTTCTATTGCTAACTTTTCTCCCTTATACTCTCTTTACATCTAAATCCACAATCGCTCCTCTTCCTCCCACCCACTTTCCTGAACCACAAATTTTGCTGAAAACACTAACATTTACTTTTTTAAAACCTACCCCATACCTCTTCGACCCATTGCCTATGTCATTGCCCATTATCCTCCAATAGCTGTTTATTCTTACCCAATGCTCCTCTTTTAGTTTATAAACCTTAACCTTTCTCTTCCTGATGCTTCTATTCTCCTTTATCCC